TTTGTATTTCCACAGAGTTTTCAGAAGGTACCATCTTGCCCACACTCACAGATGGTGCCTAGTGTTCCCATTCTTTGCTTAGGCAATGATAACCTTGACTACTTGTCCCCAAATTCTCTCCTCCTTCCAGGCCCCTGAACATTGGACTGCATTTAGCCAAGGACTGCTCCCAGGTAATAGTCTGGTTTCAGGGTTCACACCTTCCACTATCCAATTACACCACTCTTTTATCGTACTTCTCCTCATCCTCCTCTCTATAAAAGAAAATTCCTTTTTGCCCATGAAGACAGATGCTCTCCCTATTGCAAACCCTTTCCCTCCTTGCAAAAGTCCTCTCATATAGCCTCTGCTTACTCACTAGGTCCTTATTAAGATATTTTTATTTGACAAAGCATTAGAGAAGGCATTATTAGCAAATATCTGGAAAGAGAAATACCTACCTTCTTGGGCTGATGTTGCTCCACTAAATTTTTAACGAATTGGTAGCGTTGTTTGTATAATGGAGGATTAAACTTAATTACCTTCTTACTGGGAACTTCTTCGACGTTTCCATCAACCACACTATTGCACTGAAAGTTTATAAATAACAACAACAAAGAAAAAAAGGTAAGTGTTCTAATCATGCATGACTTCAGGAATTAAATAAGAGAAAAGTTTTATTTCCCCCAACCACTTCGTAGAATACATAGGCCCTTGAATCACCTCAAATCCTAAGATTAGGTGGCACTGTACTTCCTCCACACTTCATTTCATCTAAACCTCCTTTCATGTCTTTTAAATTATTATCTGACTTTAATGCCCCCTATAACTCAGGGTCAGCTGAAAGGAAAATTACTTATGAATTCATTTAATAACACAATCATAAGTCTCCTAGCCACACTGAACTGCAAGGCCTAGGGTCCATCTAGTGCATACATGCTAAGTTGTGTCCAACTCTAGCCCACCAGGCTCCTCTGTCCATGGAATTCTCCAGGCAAGAATAGTGGAGTGGGTTGCCACTTCTTTCTCCAGGCGATCTTCCGGACCTAGGGATTGAACCTGCGTATCCTGCATTGGCAGGCAGCTTCTTTACCACTCAACCACCAGGGAAGCCCTGGGGTCCAGGTGGTCAGGAGGCTAGAACCTGTCTATAACTGACAAAGACTCTCCTTAACCAAACTGAAGTTAGACTGTGCCCTCTTTTGACTACACCTTCCTGAACGCTGTCCTGTCTTTGGCTGGCCTACCACAGTTTTACAGGTATCCTAAAGTCACCTGCACTTGATACCTCATCACACACTTCATCCCCCACCTCAATATATGATCATACTGGCCCACCTTCAGAATCCTATCAAATAAGTTTAGCAAGAACCCCATACCCTTGATGGGGTTCTCCTTTCTTTTCCATCCACTGATTCCCTCACTCTGTTCACATGCCATGTATCCCCAGTTGTCTACTGCATAGAGTTGGGCCCCACCTCTCTCCCCTAATGCAATGTTCTTAATGCGATAGTCCTAAATAGTTTTCCTTTTACAAATGTCAAAATTTCCTTGACATGACTCCCATTACAAAATAATGTCATGATTAATCCATAACTACTGTTACTGTTGTTCCTAAATTATTGTTGGTGTTTTTCAGTTGCTAAGTCATGTCTGTCTCTTTGCAATCCCATGGACTGTAGCATGTCAGGCTCCCCGTCCTTCACTAACTCCTAGAGTTTGCTCAAATTCAAAATCATATCCACTGAGTCAGTGATGCTTTCTAACCATCTCATCCTCTGCTGAACCTTTCTCCTTTTGCCTTCAATCTTGCCTTCAATCTTTCCCAACAACAGTGTCTTTTTCAATGAGTCAGCTCTTCACATCAGCTGGCCAACGTATTGGAGTTTCAGCTTCAGCATTAGTCCTTCCAATGAATATTCAGGACTGATTTCCTTTAGGACTGACTGCTCTGATCTCCTTGCAGTTCAAGGGATTCTCAAGAGTCTTCTGCACCACAATTCAAAAGCCTCAATTCTTTGGTGCTCAGCCTTCTTTATGGTCCAACTCTCACATCTGTACATAACTACCAGAAAAACCATAGCTGTGACTATACGGACCTTTGTCAAAAAAGTGATGTCTCTGCTTTTTAACATGCTGTCTATGTTGATCATAGCTTTTCATCCAAGGAGTAAGCATCTTTTAATTTCATGGCTGCTTTCACCACCTGCAGTGATTTTGGAACCCAAGAAAATAAAATTCTGTCACCGCTTCCACTTTTTCCCCTTCTATTTGCCATGAAGTGACAGGACCAGATGCCATGATCTTAGCTTTTTGAATGGTGAGTTTCAAGCCAACTTTTTCACTCCCCTCTTTCACCCTCATCAAGAGGATCTCTAGTTCCTCTTCTCTCTCTGCCATTAGAGTGGTATCGTCTGTGTATCTGCGACTGTCGCTATTTCTCCCACTGATTTTGGTTCCAGCTTCTGATTTATGCAGGCAGGTATTTCACGTGATGTACTCTGTATAGAAGTTAAATAAGCAAGGTATAACAGTATACAGTCTTGTCATACTCCGTTCTCAATTTTGAACCAATCGGTTGTTCCGTGTCCAGTTCTAACTGTTGCTTCTCGACTTACACACACAGTCTTAAAAAGGAATCCAAAATGCACTAGAGCATTGCTGTTCAAAAAATACACAGATATGCAACGTTCTCATAGCCTATTTTTAATAGATTTAAGGTATAATTAATATATCTGAAATATTTCTAGATAAAATCAGAAATGCCTTATCTGTATTTGAATGTCAAAAAAAGGTGCCTTTAAAAAGATTCACATACCCAAGTTATTCCAAACATACTTCCGTTTTTTCCAATAATGAAATATTTTTAATTAATCTTAAAGTCTACTGAAGTTCCATTCTTCAGTTGTTAAAGCCACATCCTAAATCCTCAATAACCATGTGAATTACAACCATTTTAGAAAAAGGACTTGAGCATCCGCGAATTTTAGTGTGCACGCGGTGTCCTAGAACCTATCTCCCAGGGTTAGCGAGGGAGGAATGTACCTCACAGGATATCACGGGGATGACTCTTCAGTCATACAGCAGGTCAAGAAGGGAAGCCTTACCTCCATGTTGTTTTCCGCCTTTGTTTTCAAGTTTCGTTGAAACAGAAGTGCAGCTGTCTCCTGCAACCCCTAGGAATCAGCAATGACTAGGCTGTAAATATAGTGTATCAGTTTTGTAGAGGAAAGGCTACACTAAGTAGCTGCTGCCTAGATCACTGGGGAGGAAGAGAGCGAGGTTTCTCCCTTCTCTTTACATTTAATCCACATTAATGTATCCTTTAACGCACAGAATGTATCCAGGAAGCACTGCTTCAGACAATAGCGAAGCAAGTACGGAAGCCTAAGTGGCCTTCCGCTCCACCAGACACACGCAGTGACACCCATTCTTTCCTTTTACTGTTACTTGGATTAAAACTGAACAGTTCTATCAGTTGTGACTATTTCATTAAAGCCCTCAACGTCACTCAAATTGCTTTCAGCTACTCTTTCACACGTGGTCAAAATGAAAATTAAAGAGCAGAGTGTCCTAAGTGAAAGTCACTCAGTCGTGTCCGACTCTCTGCGACCCACCCCATGGACTATACAGTCCATGGGATTCTCCAGGCCAGAACACTGGAGTGGGTAGCCTTTCCCTTCTCCAGGGGATCTTCCCAACCCAGGGACTGAACCAAGGTCTTCCCCATTGCAGGCGGGTTCTTTACCAGCTGAGCCACAAGGGAAGCATATATGCTCCAGCACATATCCAATTCACTACTGGCCTTGAATTTTACATTTTTAGTTCTCTGTTGCACATCTGCCTCTAACAACTAGAACTCAGTCTAAAGTGTAGACACATCGATCCCCTGACTTGAGTTATTCTCTAAATCGTAACTCGGAAACCCTCCTCAAGAGCGCTGAAGAGAGCATGAGTGGATGCAACTATTACCTTTCTGTAAGAAGCACCTCCGCGCGCGGCCGACCAGCGGGCATTGCGGAGAGGAGCGGCTGCCGCAAAGCGGCGGCCGCCTTTCTCCCCGGGCCCGGCCCCTGACACTGGCGCACGCGCGGTCTCACCACGTGACTTTACCCGCCCGCAGCCACACCTGCGCCGGGGGCACCGCCCCGGGGACTCCCTACTTCTCCGCCCGAGGTGCCCGGAGCCCAGCTCCGGATTCAGCCCCTTTCCTCTAGGCTCCTGGCTCCGAGACATCGGGGTTGTGTCTTTTAACGGCCTCTGTGGCTCATGCTCCAGAGCCATGTCTTAAGTCTCCATCCGCACACTGGCGGGGGGACCACGATCCCTGCCACATCCCCCCTCGCGAGCAGCTGCGACCCGCCCCAGCCGGCCAGGAGCCGCGACTGTTGGCCCGAGGCGGCACCTCGCTCGGCGTGTCCGGGGCCGCGAGCAGGGCGCCGGGCTCCGGCGGCTGTTGGCTCCGTGGCTCTCCCCGTGCGCGGGGCTGAAAACGGTCCCGGCCAATGGAAGGTGCCAAGAGGAGCGAGCCGGCTGAGCGCGAGCCGAGCAGCCGCTCGCGTCCGAATCGGCCAACACTCCCATCCCCAGAACAGTCCACAAGAACCTTAAAGGGGACCATGGGCTGCCTAAAGCTCTGCCGGTAACATCTGAGCTCAGAAATCCTTGACACGGTACAGTCCGCAAACCTCCAACTGGTAACTACCGCATGCTGGGGACACAAGTATCTGATCTCTTAGAAAAGTTACTTTATCGTCTGCCCTTTCCCTTGCAGAGATTCAACCTAACTCCTCAAAAGTTATTTCGTTCTAATATGTGAGAGAAAAGCCTAGGAGAGGAGAAACGAAGCTGCCTTTGCGGTTGGGAGAAGAATTTAGTCCTATTTTAAGAGACTCGATCTGGTTTTACTAAGAAATTCAGTTCAGTTTAGTCGCTCAGTCGTGTCCGAGTCTGCGACCCCATGAACCGCAGCACACCAGGCCTCCCTGTCCATCACCAACTCCGGGAGTTCACCCAAACCCATGTCCATTGAGTCGGTGATGCCATCCTACTATCTCATCCTCTGTCGTCCCCTTCTCCTCCTGTCCTCAATCTTTCCCAGCATCGGGGTCTTTTCCAATGAGTCAGCTCTTCGCATCAGATGTCCAAAGTATTGGAGTTTCAACTTCAACATAAGTCCTTCCAATGAACACCCAGGACTGATCTCCTTTAGGATGGACTGGCTGGATCTCCTTGCAGTCCAAGGGACTCTCAAGAGTCTTCTCCAACACCGCAGTTCAAAAGCATCAATTCTTTCTGCGCTCAGCTTTCTTTATAGTCCAACTCTCACATCCATACATGACCACTGGAAAAACCATAGCCTTGACTAGACGGACCTTTGTTGGCAAAGTAATGTCTCTGCTTTTTAATATGCTGTCTAGGTTGGTCATAACTTTCCTTCCAAGGAGTAAGCGTCTTTTAATTTCATGGCTGCAATCACCATTCTGCAGTGATTTTGGAGCCCAAAAAAATAAAGTCAACCACTGTTTCCGCTGTTTCCCCATCTATTTGCCATGAAGTGATGGAACCGGATGCCATGATCTTTGTTTTCTGAATGTTGAGCTTTAAGCCAACTTTTACACTCTCCTCTTTCACTTTCATCAAGAGGCTCTTTTGTTCGGCTTCACTTTCTGCCATAAAGGTGGTGTCATCTGCATATCTGAGGTTATTGATAATTCTCCCAGCAAAATAACCTATTAATACATCATAAATAATATATTGGTAAATAACATATTTTCAAACACTTAACACCTACTATATGCAAAGAACAATGCTGACCCCTTTGGGGCATCACAAAGATACATTGCACAATTTTTATTTTTGACATTTTGAGGGTTCTAGTCTCCTAGGGAAAAGTTTGTAACTTAAGGTAAGCTTCAGCAGGTTCCTGTAGGCTCCAGGAAACAAAAATTTTAACCAACAGCCTTCCTTGAAGGAGCATATGCCCTATTATAGAATATATAATCTAAACAGGATCTTTAAGCATGAGTAAGTTAATTCCACTTCTGTGTATTTTTAAATCAATTAAGGAGGCTATTGGACTGAGGTGGCTCTAATGCCCTGAAAAGCCTGTATAAACAAAACTGAAGCGTGCAAATGCCTCAGTGTTAAGAAATGGAAACCTAGGGACTTCCCTGGCTGTTCAGTATCTAAGACTTTGAGCTCCCAATACAGAGGGCATGGATTCCGTCCCTGGTGTGGGGAGTTAAGATCCTACACACGCCTGGCTAGCCCACAGTGGGGGAGAGTAATGGAAACCTAAGGACAACCAATCATAAACAAGTAGGCTTTTCTGAATAAGGCATCAGCTTAAGCTTGTGAAAGCAAAAAACAAAATGGAATAGGTATTGCTAAGAAAGCTCTCTAAAATGGAGCCAGAAGACCGTTGAAAAAGTGTAACTCATGCATGTGTGAGCCTAGGTAGAGTCTGAACTGAACACCACTGACTCTTAATTCAGGCATCCAGACCATCTGCCCAATGTTCCAAAACTCAAGGTAATTATTGAACCTCTACCCCGAAAGAACGTCTGATAGGATATCCCTTAAAGACAAATATTTCCTTTTTGGTGTCCAGTCAGTCATAATTTTTGTCAGACAATTTTAACAACCTTGTGGCTTTTGCCTTTATAAGCCCTTGACTTTCTCTTCCACAAAATACTGGGTTTTACCCAAATGTGTGTCTCCTCGGTTGTAATTCCCAAGACCCCAAATGAACTCTTCTTATTGCAACCTTCTGCATTTCTTTGTCAACAAGTGATACCCAGTCAAGTAATTTCCTTGCTTTGCTTTGGCATCTTTCCTATAAAAGCCCTTCCTTTAGTTCCTGACAGTAATTAGGAGCTACCAGATTTGAACTGATGTTTGCTGAAATTCTTTTTATTGTTTGATCAAAATCTTAAAAATTCCAAAATGCCTCAGTTTATCTGTTAACTTTATGTACCCAAAAGAATTGAAAGCAGAGACTGGAATGAATATTCTTACACCAATATTCACAGCAACATTATTCAAAATAGCAAAGGGTAGAAACAACCCAAATGCCCATCAACGGATAAATGAATAAACAAAAGTGGCATATACATCCTTTACAAGGAATGATTCTGACATGTTACTACATAAATGAATCTGGAAAACATTATGCTAAGTGAAATAGGGTGGTCACAAAAGGACACATATTGCATTGTGGGTGGGGAAGGAAAAATAATCTTCAATAGACACTGGATTTGTGGATACTGGATTCTAGTCCTGTTCATTGCCTTTGAGGTTTTGTTGTTGTTGTTCAGTCACCCAGTCATGTCCAACTCTTTGCAATGCCATGGACTGCAGCACACCAGGCCTCCCTGTCCCTCACCTTCTCCTGGAGTTTGCCCAAGTTGATGTTCACTGCATCAGTGACGCTGTCCAGCCATCTTATCCTCTGATGCCCTTTTCTCCTTCTGCCCTTGATCTTTCCCAGCATCAGGGACTTTTCTAATGAGTTGTGTGTTCACATCAGATGACCAAAATACTGGAGCTTCAGCTTTAGCATCAATACTTCCAGTGAATATTCAGGGTTGATCTCTCTTAAAATTGATTGGTTTGATCTCCTTGTTGTCCAAGGGACCTTCAGGAGTCTCCTCCAGCACCACAGTCCAAAAGCATCAATTCTTTGGCGTTCTGCCTTCTTTACAGTCCAACTCTCACAACCGTACTTGACCACTGGAAAGACCATAGTCTTGACTATACAGACCTTTGCCAGCAGAGTAATGTCTCTGCTTTTCAGTACACTGTCTAGGTTTGTCATTGCTTTCCTGCCAAGAGGTTTTGTTCAGTTCAGTCTCTCAGTCATGTCCGACTCTTCGTGACCCCATGAATCGCAGCACACCAGGCAGGCCTCCCTGTCCATCACCAACTCCCGGAGTTTACTCAAACTCATGCCCTTCAAGTCGGTGATGCCATCCAGCCATCTCATCCTCTCTCGTCCCCTTCTCCTCCTGCCCCCAATCCCTCCCAGCATCAGGGTCTTTTCCAGTGAGTCAACTCTTCACATGAGGTGGCCAAAGTACTGGAGTTTCAGCTTCAGCATCAGTCCTTCCAATGAACACCCAGGACTGATCTCCTTTAGGATGAACTGGTTGGATCTCCCTGCAGTCCAAGGGACTCTCAAGAGTCTTCTCCAACACCACAGTTCAAAAGCATCAGTTTTTCGGTGCTCAGCTTTCTTCACAGTCCAACTCTCACATCCATACATGACTACTGGAAAAACCATAGCCTTGACCAGATGGACCTTTGTTGGCAAAGTAATGTCTCTGCTTTTTAATATGCTATCTAGGTTGGTCATCACTTTCCTTCCAAGGAGTAAGCGTCTTTTAATTTCATGGCTGCAGTCACCATTCTGCAGTGATTTTGGAGCCCAAAAAAATGAAGCCTGACACTGTTTCCACTGTCTCCCCATCTATTTCCCATGAGGTGATGGGACCAGATGCCATGATCTTAGTTTTCTGAATGTCAAGCTTTAAGCCAACTTTTTCACTCTCATCTTTCATTTTCATCAAGAGGCTTTTTATTTCCTCTTCACTCTCTGCCATAAGGTTTTGTTATCTACCTGAAAATTAGACTGAATCCTGAATTCTTCTAGTTTTCACCAATATCTGTCACTAAATTAACATTTCCACATTTTTCCCACTCTTGTTACTTGAAATCATAAAGACAAAAACTGCCATTTTCTCAAAGACCTAAAAGCTGAAGCTGAATAACTTGATATCAACTTCAGAGAAATCGCCACAACATCTCACATCCAGACCAACTTTGTGCTTTTTGCTCTATGGCCCACTCAGAAATTTCACTGGAACACCTTCTGACATCAACCAGAGATAACAGGAAAGTCTATCCGATTACTGCTGCCACTCCTCATTCTGAAGATGCTTCAGGCCCAACATCTAGAAATCTCCATAGACTCAAAATTTTTGTTTATATTCTGTTCTAACCATTAACTTTGTTTTTCTTCTGTTTCCATGGCAATGCCTCTTATTGAATACATGATTGCTTGTACCATATAGGCGTGACTTTGGAAGCCAACCTGCATCACTGCCTCCTGACATTAGATAGCACACTTTAATTTAACTGACCTATTCTCAGGATAAAGAGATTAATTCAATGAGAAATGGAGCAATGTACCAACTGAGCTTCTGGGGATGTTTCAAAGGCAGGAACTTCTCGGGGAAGTTGCAAAGGCAGGATAGCAGAAATGGCTCCCCAAAATATGCCTCTTTGGCATAAGGACTGTTTTTAGCTGATTGTTTGAAGAAATAGCAGAGAGAGACTTCCCTGGTGGTTCAGGGGACCTATATTCCATCTCTGGTCAAGGAACTAATCCAATGTGCCTAAACTAAGAGTTTGCATGCTGCAACTGAAGATCTCACATGCCATAACTAAAGACCCCATGTGCTGCAAGTAAAAACCACATGCCAAAACTAAGACCAGCACAACCAAATAAGTGAATATTTTGAAAAGAAAGAAAAGGCTGGTCCTTTTAAAAAATTCATTCTTCCTAGATATATATTAATAAGCTTCTATCTGTTTTTCTTTTGTTAATCCATCTTTTATTACAAGGAATCTCAGGCAAGAACTCAAAAAAGTAAAGGAAAAGTTATTTTTCCTCCTCTTTGGTATGATTCCATTTATACAGGATATCTACAATAGTCAAATTCATAGAGACAGGAAGTAGAAGTCTCACCAGTGGAACGATGATGATTTCTTTGGTTCTCTCGAGGGAAAAAATTCAGATGAGAGACTCAGACAGTCTTAAGGAGCAAGAGTTTTATTGGCAAAGTGGAAGTACTCTCCCAAGAAAAGCTAAGAGCCGGCTGCTTAAAATTAAACCAGAAGCAGCCCCACAGTGTGGGTAGGGTTAATTTTTCAGAATGGTGGAAAGTCCCTCCCTGTGTCCTGCATCATTTGACTAGCAAGTTGATTGACAGCTTTAGTTTATATAACTTTTCTCCTCGTGCGCATTGCACTTACCCATAAGCACCCAAGCGAAACCCAATGGTGTGTGTGTGTTGGGAGCGGAGGGGCTTGCATTGCTAATTTATTATAAATATGGCATAATGAACTCCAGGTTAGTTTGAGTCACCTTTTAGGTCTTGGTGGGCCTGCACCAGCCTGTGCTGTCAAGTTTTATCTAGCTTGGTCCTGACAAGGCTGGAAACTCAGCAGTCCTTGACTAAATAAAGGAAGGATCTCTGGGCATATTCTGATCACCAGTGTCCAGGTGGGGGATGGAAAGATGACCCCATCCAGGCTGGGGCAGGGACTCACTCATGTCTGACTAACTGCCTAACAGAATACTAGT